TACATTCCTATAAGACCCATTCTAATCCGGATCTTCACGGGTCTACTGACATATTTATAACCAGATGGCACAAAACGATAAAAGTAGATGGTTCGCGCACCTACCTGTACAAGACACAATACTCTACCACATGTATGGATCCCGTGCTACTACAGCAACCTTGCAAACACGACTTGATCGTCTCGATAATAGATCTACGGGGTTCCGTTCCACAAAATGATCTTAGCGCTACGATAATCGTAACTCCCATACTTTGAAATAGGCTTATGACTATCGTAGCGCTAAGATCGCTTTGTGGAACTAGGCCCTGAATTTTATTGAACCTTTGTGAGACTAGACTGATCATGGGCCAGTTTCGTCATTTCTCGCCATGTTATTCGTCCATGCGTTGGTTCTGTATCAGGCAGAGATAGCCTTGTAGTTGGTAAGTGATGCCGATCGTGGCCATGTACATGTAGTACGTTCAGTCGAAATAAACCGTCACTTGACACTTTATCTAATCATTTCTGTTAAGTTTCAGAAGTGTTCAACATGCCTAGTAACCTCGTGTCATATTGCTGATGGAGGTTTCCGTTAAAAGTACACTTGGCATTATTTATCACTTATATAACAGCTTGGCCCCATTGACCTCTGAATAAAAGTTAGGCAGCATCTTATCGCCCTGTCTGTCATGAGACCTCTGCCCCAAGTGTGGATTCCGGAGCAGTAGTGTTCCCAGAATCCCATATTTGTCACAGGTGGTTACCATTGAGGATCGGATGGTTACAATGACTGGATCGGGTGTTACCTGTAATGTTGTACGTCTTCTAAGAATATTGTTGACCTTGAAGAAAAATTGCCACACTCACTCACTCACTCACTCGAGCTGTCAACCAATGTGTTGTCTGGGTCCGGCCCGATTAGTGACACCAGCCTTCATATCGCTGGAGTTTTGCTGGATGAGGCATAAAGGACTAATATGAGGATAAATACAAAATGTCAAGGCCAGAGAATATCCGCCGAAACAGATTCCATTGGGCGTAAAAGGCAAAATCGCTGTGAAACATGTCCTTGCAAAGAAGAGAATTCAAAACAAAACACAAAACTAATTTCATTTCATTGTATTGATTGATAACGGTATTTGGAATTAGGAATATAAGCTTAAACATTTTAAAGTTCATTTAAAAACAGGATAACATATTTTTGAGGTTCCCGGAACAAAAACCTGACAACGAAGAAACATCAATTTACGATTGCGAAAGTGGCTTTTCGTTTTTTGAGGAATGACGTTTGCATTCTAAACATTTAATTTGAAATAGGCAATTTAGAGTAAGTTCAGGATAATTAACAGAAAAATCGTTTAAAATAGTCGTTCTTTAGAGCAAGTTTGGCTGTAATTCTATCTAAAGGATTTAAGTCAAGACACTTCTTCAAAAGTGACACAAGCTTTCGGTCAGGAATGTCAAGACCAGATACGTCCAGCTGATTGTGGTCTTGGGCTATGAACTGAGGTGGTTTTCCCGTCAGACTCTCATACACTGACGCACCAAACATCCACATGTCAAAGGACTTCATTATCTTGTCTTCAACATCCCTTGTCTTGCTCTGTGGATTGTAGCTTCCGGTACCAAGCCTGATCGCATCGCCAAAGTCGATCACTTTGACCTTTCCACCCTGTCCAATGAGTATATGGGCTGGCGTTATGTCCCCATGGACTACGTCATGGCTGTGAAGATGTTCAAGACACGTGACAACTTGTTTCATGACTTTCTTCATCGCACCTTGTCTGCGAGCCTGGCACTTCCTGGCAATGAACTCGGCCAGGTTGGATCCGCCGACATACTCCAGTATCATGACTTGGCGGCCCTTGTGTTCAAATAGTTCATAGGCTTTGATAATGTTCTTGTGTTGGACCTGACCAATGATGTTAAACTCAGTGGTCCATGCTTTGGACACTTCCATCGGGTCTCTGTTTCTTGGGTGCGACACTTTGGCTGCAAATACTTTCCCGTCCTTGAACACATTGTACACAGTGGCGTTAGCACCAGAGCGGATGACCTCACGGAACATGTAGCCATGGATTGTGAGGCCGAGGAACGGGTCGCGTGGGAGTGAGCGGAGAAACCCCTCCCCAGCTGATTGAGGTAACTGACAGTTTTCAGGGTGGCGCTGGTTGCAAGGGGGAGTCGCGGCATCCACGGGAGGCGTTGATTTAGACACACACTCCACCAGTCGCTCTACGTCCGACGGGAACAGACATTTTCTCCATAGTTTTGCTGCAGCATTGTGATGTCCGGCTTGATGAGCCAACGTGAGATGAGGAAATGAAGACAGTGAAATAATCACATTACAAGTGTTCAGATTTACATAAATTACACACACACACACACACACACACACACACACACACACACACACACACACACACACACACACACACACACACACACACACACACACACACACACACACACACTGCAAAAACATCTAGCAATCAACAAGGTAGACGTGGATGCAAGGTACGCAAATCGAAAGTACGGGGAATCAGAACTCTAATTTGGCCATGTTTTGAAAATAAATTATATTAATTATGATAGCTGCTGCTTGTGTGAAATCGGCTAATATGTTTTTTGTCTTGTTTTAAGACAGACACGTTTCAATACAGATTTAATTGGTTTCAGGAAAAGAATAAAAATAAATGGAATCTAGAGAGAAATGCAAATGTATTAAGCAGCTTTATGATGGCATGTTTAAGAAGTATCGCACGTTTATACAATAGTTTAAGACTGATGTGAAAAAAAAACAAAACCGCCGTCTACTATCTGTTAAAAAATCCATTTCGAATTTGGTGGATCGTTCTTTAAAAACTTAATCTTTTTTTAGAGACCTCGGTCCACACAACTTATCTAACAGTAAACCCGTTTAGGGTTAATTATACTGACAACAATATTACTTACCAGGAGCCATATCCATGAGGGTATTGGAAACCGATTTTCAGAATAACACGAGCTGTATTTTAGATTAAATCGCCTTACAAAGTTTCCGTGAAGAGAAACCACGCCTCGTCTCTAGCGCAATGTGGCTAAATGTGACGTTCCCTTCTGTGACGTCACACGTTTATGACGTCATGTGAGATGTTTTCCGGTTTAACGGGGTCCGGATGAACGAGGCTAGGCTGTTTATTTAGAAGGCCAGGTTGCATGATTTTTATAAACGTTTCGGCTGCAGTTAAAAACGAGATTCGTTATTAACATGTGATAAGACCCTGCCTTGTTATATATTTTTTCTGTTTAATCTACAAATGTATACGTAAAAGTGAGAAGCCTATTTATGGTATGGTGTCCCCCGACGTGATATTGCTGGAATATTGCTAAAAACGGCATAAAACCCTACTCACTCACTCACAAAAGTAAAAAGTTTGTACTTAGAGGTTTTCCGTTGTCTTTGAAAGTTCTGAAGAGGTCATCCCTCGGTGAAAAAAACACATATTACACTGGCCTACCAATATATGAAATTTGTGCCCCCGAAGACATTGGCATATCGATCGATTCCCAGACGAGGAGTTAACTCTGTTTGATCTCTTACAGTGATGATGTTTTCATAACGTTTTATTTTTTTTATTTGCGGAATATATATTATAATCTGACCTGGTCCAAGTCCGCATTCCTTTGAAATGTCAAAGTGCTTTTGTCTCTCCATCTCAGGTTTATAGAGTGAGTGAGTGAGTGAGTATGGTTTTACGCCGCTTTTAGCAATATTCCAACAATATCACGACGGGGGACGCCAGAAATGGGCTTCACATATTGTACCCATGTCGGGAATCGAACCCGGGTGACGAGCGAACGCTTTTACCACTGGGCTACCCGACCGCCCTCGGGTTTATAGACAATGATAAGATTAGAGGATATTTTATGTCTTCCTGCAGTATCCTTCTTTTACATTCCTATAAGACCCATTCTAATCCGGATCTTCACGGGTCTACTGACATATTTATAACCAGATGGCACAAAACGATAAAAGTAGATGGTTCGCGCACCTACCTGTACAAGACACAATACTCTACCACATGTATGGATCCCGTGCTACTACAGCAACCTTGCAAACACGACTTGATCGTCTCGATAATAGATCTACGGGGTTCCGTTCCACAAAATGATCTTAGCGCTACGATGATCGTAACCCCCATACTTTGAAATAGGCTTACGACTATCGTAGCGCTAAGATCGCTTTGTGGAACTAGGCCCTGAATTTTATTGAACCTTTGTGAGACTAGACTGATCATGGGCCAGTTTCGTCATTTCTCGCCATGTTATTCGTCCATGCGTTGGTTCTGTATCAGGCAGAGATTGCCTTGTAGTTGGTAAGTGATGCCGATCGTGGCCATGTACATGTAGTACGTTCAGTCGAAATAAACCGTCACTTGACACTTTATCTAATCATTTCTGTTAAGTTTCAGAAGTGTTCAACATGCCTAGTAACCTCGTGTCATATTGCTGAACGAGGTTTCCGTTAAAAGTACACTTGGCATTATTTATCACTTATATAACAGCTTGGCCCCATTGACCTCTGAATAAAAGTTAGGCAGCATCTTATCGCCCTGTCTGTCATGAGACCTCTGCCCCAAGTGTGGATTCCGGAGCAGTAGTGTTCCCAGAATCCCCTATTTGTCACAGGTGGTTACCATTGAGGATCGGATGGTTACAATGACTGGATCGGGTGTTACCTGTAATGTTGTACGTCTTCTAAGAATATTGTTGACCTTGAAGAAAAATTGCCACACTCACTCACTCACTCACTCGAGCTGTCAACCAATGTGTTGTCTGGGTCCGGCCCGATTAGTGACACCAGCCTTCATATCGCTGGAGTTTTGCTGGATGAGGCATAAAGGACTAATATGAGGATAAATACAAAATGTCAAGGCCAGAGAATATCCGCCGAAACAGATTCCATTGGGCGTAAAAGGCAAAATCGCTGTGAAACATGTCCTTGCAAAGAAGAGAATTCAAAACAAAACACAAAACTAATTTCATTTCATTGTATTGATTGATAACGGTATTTGGAATTAGGAATATAAGCTTAAACATTTTAAAGTTCATTTAAAAACAGGATAACATATTTTTGAGGTTCCCGGAACAAAAACCTGACAACGAAGAAACATCAATTTACGATTGCGAAAGTGGCTTTTCGTTTTTTGAGGAATGACGTTTGCATTCTAAACATTTAATTTGAAATAGGCAATTTAGAGTAAGTTCAGGATAATTAACAGAAAAATCGTTTAAAATAGTCGTTCTTTAGAGCAAGTTTGGCTGTAATTCTATCTAAAGGATTTAAGTCAAGACACTTCTTCAAAAGTGACACAAGCTTTCGGTCAGGAATGTCAAGACCAGATACGTCCAGCTGATTGTGGTCTTGGGCGATGAACTGAGGTGGTTTTCCCGTCAGACTCTCATACAATGACGCACCAAACATCCACATGTCAAAGGACTTCATTATCTTGTCTTCAACATCCCTTGTCTTGCTCTGTGGATTGTAGCTTCCGGTACCAAGCCTGATCGCATCGCCAAAGTCGATAACTTTGACCTTTCCACCCTGTCCAATGAGTATATGGTCTGGCGTTATGTCCCCATGGACTACGTCATGGCTGTGAAGATGTTCAAGACACGTGACAACTTGTTTCATGACTTTCTTCATCGCACCTTGTCTGCGAGCCTGGCACTTCCTGGCAATGAACTCGGCCAGGTTCGATCCGCCGACATACTCCAGTATCATGACTTGGCGGCCCTTGTGTTCAAATAGTTCATAGGCTTTGATAATGTTCTTGTGTTGGACCTGACCAATGATGTTAAACTCAGTGGTCCATGCTTTGGACACTCCCATCGGGTCTCTGTTTCTTGGGTGCGACACTTTGGCTGCAAATACTTGTCCGTCTTTGAACACATTGTACACAGTGGCGTTAGCACCAGAGCGGATGACCTCACGGAACATGTAGCCATGGATTGTGAGGCCGAGGAACGGGTCGCGTGGGAGTGAGCGGAGAAACCCCTCCCCAGCTGATTGAGGTAACTGACAGTTTTCAGGGTGGCGCTGGTTGCAAGGGGGAGTCGCGGCATCCACGGGAGGCGTTGATTTAGACACACACTCCACCAGTCGCTCTACGTCCGACGGGAACAGACATTTTCTCCATAGTTCTGCTGCAGCATTGTGATGTCCGGCTTGATGAGCCCACGTGAGATGAGGATCTGAAGACAGTGAAATCATCGCATTACAAGTGTTCAGATTTACATAAATTACACACACACACACACACACACACACACACACACACACACACACTGCAAGCAATACAGACATCTAGCAATCAACAAGGTAGATGAACATATAAAAAGTAAAAGTGGATGCAATGTACGCAAATGGAAAGTACGGGGAATCAGAACTCTAATTTGGCTATGTTTTGAAAATAAATTATATTAGTTATGATAGCTGCTGCTTGTGTGAAATCGGCTAATATGTTTTTTTGTCTTGTTTTAAGACCGACACGTTTCATTACAGATTTAATTGGTTTCAGGAAAAGAATAAAAATAAATGGATTCTGGAGAGAAATACAAATATTATAGCAGCTTTATGATGGCATGTTTAAGAAGTATCGCACGTTTATTCAATAGTTTAAGACTGGTGTGAAAAACAACCACCCGCCGCCTACAATCTGTTGAAAAATCCATTTCGAATTTGCTGGATCGTTCTTAATCCTTTTTTAGAGACCTCGCGCCGCACAACTAATCTAACAGTAAACCCGTTTGGGGTTAATTATACTGACAACAATATTACTTACCAGGAGCCATATCCATGAGGGTATTGTAACCGATTTTCAGAATAACACGAGCTGTATTTTAGATTAAATCGCCTTACAAAGTTTCCGTGAAGAGAAACCACGCCTCGTCTCTAGCGCAATGTGGCTAAATGTGACGTTCCCTTCTGTGACGTCACACGTTTATGACGTCATGTGAGATGTTTTCCGGTTTAACGGGGTCCGGATGAACGAGGCTAGGCTGTTTATTTAGAAGGCCAGGTTGCATGATTTTAATAAACGTTTCGGCTGCAGTTAAAAACGAGATTCGTTATTAACATGTGATAAGACCCTGCTTGTTATATATTTTTCTGTTTAATCTACAAATGTATACGTAAAAGTGAGAAGCCTATTTATGGTATGGTGTCCCCCGACGTGATATTGCTGGAATATTGCTAAAAACGGCATAAAACCCTACTCACTCACTCACTCACAAAAGTAAAAAGTTTGTACTTAGAGGTTTTCCGTTGTCTTTGAAAGTTCTGAAGAGGTCATCCCTCGGTGAAAAAAAACACACATTACACTGGCCTACCAATATATGAAATTTGTGCCCCCGAAGACATTGGCATATCGATCGATTCCCAGACGAGGAGTTAACTCTGTTTGATCTCTTACAATGATGATGTTTTCATAACGTTTTATTTTTTTATTTGCGGAATATATATTATAATCTGACCTGGTCCAAGTCCGCATTCCTTTGAAATGTCAAAGTGCTTTTGTCTCTCCATCTCAGGTTTATAGAGTGAGTGAGTGAGTATGGTTTTACGCCGCTTTTAGCAATATTCCAACAATATCACGACGGGGGACGCCAGAAATGGGCTTCACATATTGTACCCATGTCGGGAATCGAACCCGGGTGACGAGCGAACGCTTTTACCACTGGGCTACCCGACCGCCCTCGGGTTTATAGACAATGATAAGATTAGAGGATATTTTATGTCTTCCTGCAGTATCCTTCTTTTACATTCCTATAAGACCCATTCTAATCCGGATCTTCACGGGTCTACTGACATATTTATAACCAGATGGCACAAAACGATAAAAGTAGATGGTTCGCGCACCTACCTGTACAAGACACAATACTCTACCACATGTATGGATCCCGTGCTACTACAGCAACCTTACAAACACGACTTGATCGTCTCGATAATAGATCTACGGGGTTCCGTTCCACAAAATGATCTTAGCGCTACGATGATCGTAACTCCCATACTTTGAAATAGGCTTACGACTATCGTAGAGCTAAGATCGCTTTGTGGAACTAGGCCCTGAATTTTATTGAACCTTTGTGAGACTAGACTGATCATGGGCCAGTTTCGTCATTTCCCGCCATGTTATTCGTCCATGCGTTGGTTCTGTATCAGGCAGAGATTGCCTTGTAGTTGGTAAGTGATGCCGATCGTGGCCATGTACATGTAGTACGTTCAGTCGAAATAAACCGTCACTTGACACTTTATCTAATCATTTCTGTTAAGTTTCAGAAGTGTTCAACATGCCTAGTAACCTCGTGTCATATTGCTGATGGAGGTTTCCGTTAAAAGTACACTTGGCATTATTTATCACTTATATAACAGCTTGGCCCCATTGACCTCTGAATAAAAGTTAGGCAGCATCTTATCGCCCTGTCTGTCATGAGACCTCTGCCCCAAGTGTGGATTCCGGAGCAGTAGTGTTCCCAGAATCCCATATTTGTCACAGGTGGTTACCATTGAGGATCGGATGGTTACAATGACTGGATCGGGTGTTACCTGTAATGTTGTACGTCTTCTAAGAATATTGTTGACCTTGAAGAAAAATTGCCACACTCACTCACTCACTCACTCGAGCTGTCAACCAATGTGTGGTCTGGGTCCGGCCCGATTAGTGACACCAGCCTTCATATCGCTGGAGTTTTGCTGGATGAGGCATAAAGGACTAATATGAGGATAAATACAAAATGTCAAGGCCAGAGAATATCCGCCGAAACAGATTCCATTGGGCGTAAAAGGCAAAATCGCTGTGAAACATGTCCTTGCAAAGAAGAGAATTCAAAACAAAACACAAAACTAATTTCATTTCATTGTATTGATTGATAACGGTATTTGGAATTAGGAATATAAGCTTAAACATTTTAAAGTTCATTTAAAAACAGGATAACATATTTATGAGGTTCCCGGAACAAAAACCTGACAACGAAGAAACATCAATTTACGATTGCGAAAGTGGCTTTTCATTTTTTGAGGAATGAAGTTTGCATTCTAAACATTTAATTTGAAATAGGCAATTTAGAGTAAGTTCGGGATAATTAATAGAAAAATCGTTTAAAATAGTCGTTCTTTAGAGCAAGTTTGGCTGTAATTCTATCTAAAGGATTTAAGTCAAGACACTTCTTCAAAAGTGACAAAAGCTTTCGGTCAGGAATGTCAAGACCAGATACGTCCAGCTGATTGTGGTCTTGGGCGATGAACTGAGGTGGTTTTCCCGTCAGACTCTCATACAATGACGCACCAAACATCCACATGTCAAAGGACTTCATTATCTTGTCTTCAACATCCCTTGTCTTGCACTGTGGATTGTAGCTTCCGGTACCAAGCCTGATCGCATCGCCAAAGTCGATAACTTTGACCTTTCCACCCTGTCCAATGAGTATATGGGCTGGCGTTATGTCCCCATGGACTACGTCATGGCTGTGAAGATGTTCAAGACACGTGACAACTTGTTTCATGACTTTCTTCATCGCACCTTGTCTGCGAGCCTGGCACTTCCTGGCAATGAACTCGGCCAGGTTCGATCCGCCGACATACTCCAGTATCATGACTTGGCGGCCCTTGTGTTCAAATAGTTCATAGGCTTTGATAATGTTCTTGTGTTGGACCTGACCAATGATGTTAAACTCAGTGGTCCATGCTTTGGACACTCCCATCGGGTCTCTGTTTCTTGGGTGCGACACTTTGGCTGCAAATACTTGTCCGTCTTTGAACACATTGTACACAGTGGCGTTAGCACCAGAGCGGATGACCTCACGGAACATGTAGCCATGGATTGTGAGGCCGAGGAACGGGTCGCGTGGGAGTGAGCGGAGAAACCCCTCCCCAGCTGATTGAGGTAACTGACAGTTTTCAGGGTGGCGCTGGTTGCAAGGGGGAGTCGCGGCATCCACGGGAGGCGTTGATTTAGACACACACTCCACCAGTCGCTCTACGTCCGACAGACATTTTCTCCATAGTTCTGCTGCAGCATTGTGATGTCCGGCTTGATGAGCCCACGTGAGATGAGGATCTGAAGACAGTGAAATCATCGCATTACAAGTGTTCAGATTTACATAAATTACACACACACACACACACACACACACACACACACACACACACACACACTGCAAGCAATACAGACATCTAGCAATCAACAAGGTAGATGAACATATAAAAAGTAAAAGTGGATGCAATGTACGCAAATGGAAAGTACGGGGAATCAGAACTCTAATTTGGCTATGTTTTGAAAATAAATTATATTAGTTATGATAGCTGCTGCTTGTGTGAAATCGGCTAATATGTTTTTTTGTCTTGTTTTAAGACCGACACGTTTCATTACAGATTTAATTGGTTTCAGGAAAAGAATAAAAATAAATGGATTCTGGAGAGAAATACAAATATTATAGCAGCTTTATGATGGCATGTTTAAGAAGTATCGCACGTTTATTCAATAGTTTAAGACTGGTGTGAAAAACAACCACCCGCCGCCTACAATCTGTTGAAAAATCCATTTCGAGTTTGCTGGATCGTTCTTAATCCTTTTTTAGAGACCTCGCGCCGCACAACTAATCTAACAGTAAACCCGTTTGGGGTTAATTATACTGACAACAATATTACTTACCAGGAGCCATATCCATGAGGGTATTGTAACCGATTTTCAGAATAACACGAGCTGTATTTTAGATTAAATCGCCTTACAAAGTTTCCGTGAAGAGAAACCACGCCTCGTCTCTAGCGCAATGTGGCTAAATGTGACGTTCCCTTCTGTGACGTCACACGTTTATGACGTCATGTGAGATGTTTTCCGGTTTAACGGGGTCCGGATGAACGAGGCTAGGCTGTTTATTTAGAAGGCCAGGTTGCATGATTTTAATAAACGTTTCGGCTGCAGTTAAAAACGAGATTCGTTATTAACATGTGATAAGACCCTGCTTGTTATATATTTTTCTGTTTAATCTACAAATGTATACGTAAAAGTGAGAAGCCTATTTATGGTATGGTGTCCCCCGACGTGATATTGCTGGAATATTGCTAAAAACGGCATAAAACCCTACTCACTCACTCACTCACAAAAGTAAAAAGTTTGTACTTAGAGGTTTTCCGTTGTCTTTGAAAGTTCTGAAGAGGTCATCCCTCGGTGAAAAAAAACACACATTACACTGGCCTACCAATATATGAAATTTGTGCCCCCGAAGACATTGGCATATCGATCGATTCCCAGACGAGGAGTTAACTCTGTTTGATCTCTTACAATGATGATGTTTTCATAACGTTTTATTTTTTTATTTGCGGAATATATATTATAATCTGACCTGGTCCAAGTCCGCATTCCTTTGAAATGTCAAAGTGCTTTTGTCTCTCCATCTCAGGTTTATAGAGTGAGTGAGTGAGTATGGTTTTACGCCGCTTTTAGCAATATTCCAACAATATCACGACGGGGGACGCCAGAAATGGGCTTCACATATTGTACCCATGTCGGGAATCGAACCCGGGTGACGAGCGAACGCTTTTACCACTGGGCTACCCGACCGCCCTCGGGTTTATAGACAATGATAAGATTAGAGGATATTTTATGTCTTCCTGCAGTATCCTTCTTTTACATTCCTATAAGACCCATTCTAATCCGGATCTTCACGGGTCTACTGACATATTTATAACCAGATGGCACAAAACGATAAAAGTAGATGGTTCGCGCACCTACCTGTACAAGACACAATACTCTACCACATGTATGGATCCCGTGCTACTACAGCAACCTTACAAACACGACTTGATCGTCTCGATAATAGATCTACGGGGTTCCGTTCCACAAAATGATCTTAGCGCTACGATGATCGTAACTCCCATACTTTGAAATAGGCTTACGACTATCGTAGAGCTAAGATCGCTTTGTGGAACTAGGCCCTGAATTTTATTGAACCTTTGTGAGACTAGACTGATCATGGGCCAGTTTCGTCATTTCCCGCCATGTTATTCGTCCATGCGTTGGTTCTGTATCAGGCAGAGATTGCCTTGTAGTTGGTAAGTGATGCCGATCGTGGCCATGTACATGTAGTACGTTCAGTCGAAATAAACCGTCACTTGACACTTTATCTAATCATTTCTGTTAAGTTTCAGAAGTGTTCAACATGCCTAGTAACCTCGTGTCATATTGCTGATGGAGGTTTCCGTTAAAAGTACACTTGGCATTATTTATCACTTATATAACAGCTTGGCCCCATTGACCTCTGAATAAAAGTTAGGCAGCATCTTATCGCCCTGTCTGTCATGAGACCTCTGCCCCAAGTGTGGATTCCGGAGCAGTAGTGTTCCCAGAATCCCATATTTGTCACAGGTGGTTACCATTGAGGATCGGATGGTTACAATGACTGGATCGGGTGTTACCTGTAATGTTGTACGTCTTCTAAGAATATTGTTGACCTTGAAGAAAAATTGCCACACTCACTCACTCACTCACTCGAGCTGTCAACCAATGTGTGGTCTGGGTCCGGCCCGATTAGTGACACCAGCCTTCATATCGCTGGAGTTTTGCTGGATGAGGCATAAAGGACTAATATGAGGATAAATACAAAATGTCAAGGCCAGAGAATATCCGCCGAAACAGATTCCATTGGGCGTAAAAGGCAAAATCGCTGTGAAACATGTCCTTGCAAAGAAGAGAATTCAAAACAAAACACAAAACTAATTTCATTTCATTGTATTGATTGATAACGGTATTTGGAATTAGGAATATAAGCTTAAACATTTTAAAGTTCATTTAAAAACAGGATAACATATTTTTGAGGTTCCCGGAACAAAAACCTGACAACGAAGAAACATCAATTTACGATTGCGAAAGTGGCTTTTCATTTTTTGAGGAATGAAGTTTGCATTCTAAACATTTAATTTGAAATAGGCAATTTAGAGTAAGTTCGGGATAATTAATAGAAAAATCGTTTAAAATAGTCGTTCTTTAGAGCAAGTTTGGCTGTAATTCTATCTAAAGGATTTAAGTCAAGACACTTCTTCAAAAGTGACACAAGCTTTCGGTCAGGAATGTCAAGACCAGATACGTCCAGCTGATTGTGGTCTTGGGCGATGAACTGAGGTGGTTTTCCCGTCAGACTCTCATACAATGACGCACCAAACATCCACATGTCAAAGGACTTCATTATCTTGTCTTCAACATCCCTTGTCTTGCACTGTGGATTGTAGCTTCCGGTACCAAGCCTGATCGCATCGCCAAAGTCGATAACTTTGACCTTTCCACCCTGTCCAATGAGTATATGGGCTGGCGTTATGTCCCCATGGACTACGTCATGGCTGTGAAGATGTTCAAGACACGTGACAACTTGTTTCATGACTTTCTTCATCGCACCTTGTCTGCGAGCCTGGCACTTCCTGGCAATGAACTCGGCCAGGTTCGATCCGCCGACATACTCCAGTATCATGACTTGGCGGCCCTTGTGTTCAAATAGTTCATAGGCTTTGATAATGTTCTTGTGTTGGACCTGACCAATGATGTTAAACTCAGTGGTCCATGCTTTGGACACTTCCATCGGGTCTCTGTTTCTTGGGTGCGACACTTTGGCTGCAAATACTTTCCCGTCCTTGAACACATTGTACACAGTGGCGTTAGCACCAGAGCGGATGACCTCACGGAACATGTAGCCATGGATTGTGAGGCCGAGGAACGGGTCGCGTGGGAGTGAGCGGAGAAACCCCTCCCCAGCTGATTGAGGTAACTGACAGTTTTCAGGGTGGCGCTGGTTGCAAGGGGGAGTCGCGGCATCCACGGGAGGCGTTGATTTAGACACACACTCCACCAGTCGCTCTACGTCCGACAGACATTTTCTCCATAGTTCTGCTGCAGCATTGTGATGTCCGGCTTGATGAGCCCACGTGAGATGAGGATCTGAAGACAGTGAAATCATCACATTACAAGTGTTCAGATTTACATAAATTACACACACACACTGCAAGCAATACAGACATCTAGCAATCAACAAGGTAGATGAACATATAAAAAGTAAAAGTGGATGCAAGGTACGCAAATGGAAAGGACGGGGAATCAGAACTCTAATTTGGCTATGTTTTGAAAATAAATTATATTAGTTATGATAGCTGCTGCTTGTGTGAAATCGGCTAATATGTTTTTTTGTCTTGTTTTAAGACAGACACGTTTCAATACAGATTTAATTGGTTTCAGGAAAAGAATAAAAATAAATGGATTCTGGAGAGAAATACAAATATTATAGCAGCTTTATGATGGCATGTTTAAGAAGTATCGCACATTTATTCAATAGTTTAAGACTGGTTTGAAAAACAACCACCCGCCGCCTACAATCTGTTGAAAAATCCATTTCGAGTTTGCTGGATCGTTCTTAATCCTTTTTTAGAGACCTCGCGCCGCACAACTAATCTAACAGTAATCCGGTTTGGGGTTAATAATACTGACAACAATATTACTTACCAAGAGCCATATCCATGAGGGTATTGGAAACCGATTTCCAGAATAACACGAGCTGTATTTTAGATTAAATCGCCTTACAAAGTTTCCGTGAAGAGAAACCACGCCTCGTCTCTAGCGCAATGTGGCTAAATGTGACGTTCCCTTCTGTGACGTCACACGTTTATGACATCATGTGTGATGTTTTCCGGTTTAACGGGGTCCGGATTAACGAGGCTAGGCTGTTTATTTAGAGGGCCAGGTTGCCGGATTTTATAAACGTTTCGGCTGCAGTTAAAAACGAGATTCGGTATTTACATGTGATAAAACCCTGCCTTGTTATATATTTTTTCTGTTCAATCTACAAAAGTACAAGAATGAAGCCTATTTATGGTATCGTGTCCCCCGCCGTGATATTGCTGGAATATTGCTAAAAACGGCATAAAACCCTACTCACTCACTCACAAAAGTAAAAAGTTTGTACTTCGAGGTTTTCCGTTGTCTTCGAAAGTTCTGAAGAGGTCATCCTTCGGTGAAAAAAACACACATTGCACTGGCCTACCAATATATGAAATTTATGCCCGCGTAGAAATTTGCGTCTCGATCGATGCTCAGACGAGGGCATAAGTTAACTGTGTTTCATCTCTTACAATGATGATGTTTTCATAACGTTTTTGTATGTATTTGCGGAATATATATTATAATCTTACCTGGTGAAATGTCAAAGTGTTTTTGTCTCTCCATCTCAGGTTTATAGAGTGAGTGAGTGAGTGCATTAACATTAAGTCTTTTCAGGGAGATCATGAAACAAACGTACAAGGACATGTAGAGTGTCACCCAAAAATATGAAATAAGGGGAGGCTCAATATTTTCAGTACATTAGTGCATCAAAATTCTCTGACACCCAACCAACACTCCCAACCCCAATATCTAAGTGACAGAGGTGACACTGTGTGTGGAAATGATGTTTTAATATACATAAAAGAAATTCTCGATAAGCTGCACTACAGTTGATGATGGGAAGATATAATATTTTTTTATCAGAAACGTTGGTGAAACATTTAATATATGTTTACAGATATTGTTATTAAAATTATCATGAACATGACATTGATGCCATATTGTTCTCTCTCGTCGTACAAACCACCTAATTAAAAAATATGAATAATATCACAAACTTCATAAACCCTTGTAACCCACATTTTCATAAACCCGTGGCTCGTGATTTCACTACATACACTATTGCTCGATATAAAGGACCACATGTGAATCACAGCCCCTTCTACAAAGAGATCTTAGAGCTGTGATCGCAGCCCCTAAACTTTAACTGGTGTAGTCAGTTCTCCAAATTCGGTTTCCGTTTGTTTTGAAAATACGGGAGTAAACGCGCAAACGCATCCAAGGGACGTAATCATTGTTGGAACTCTTCTATTTGTTAGGGTGAGAAAGTGTCTTTCGTAAATATATTCGCGTAGTCACGCTTTGAGATTGATCATTTTGGAACCACAGTTCAAGAAACATGGTAAAGTTGATAATCCTGGACATTTTGTGATGATGTTTGGGATTTTTATCATCTCTGTTTGATTTTGCGTAGCGTGTATATTCAATAATTGAATTACTTTGGCTCTGCCGGTATCAGCATGCTTTTGATTCAATTTAGCTTTGTCATATTATAAACACTATTAAATGTTTGTCCATTGCGTATTCTTGCCAGGTTAAATTGATCTTATTCGTATGGGATTCTTGTTCGGTTGTCAGTTAGTTCGCTAAAAATCTGTTATTTAAGTCGAGATATTTCCTCAATTCTGAAACGTAGGTCCCCGTATCATATTGTCCTGTTTTCGATCAGGCATTTTGAACTGATTAAAGACATCTTTTCACAAAGGTAAAATTGTGATATAATAACAACTGATTAACGTTCATCGTGCAAATAATGTGATATGCAGTAAAATTGTATGCTATTGTTTGCCAACTGAATCTTTGTACTACATCATTAGTACTTAGCTGGTCCAGACCCATGAAAATCCAGGTTAGAATTGGTCTTCAGCATATCATGCTTGTCTAAGTGGCAACTATTCTTGTTGTAAGAGGCGACTAACATTATTGGCTGGTCAGACTTGCTGACATTGTTGATGCATGTCATCATATCTCAATTGTGTAGATAGATGCTTATGATGTCAATCACTGGATTGTCTGGTCCAGATTCAATAATTTACAGACCGTCTGAATTTTCTTTTCTTCCGTTATCTTGGTCAAATAGCTTGAATATTGCTGAGTGTGGTGTAAACAACAAACAAACAAACGAACAAACTAAACTTAACTGGTCCATAATTGTTGGGTGTAATTTCACAGTGACACAGCTTCACGTTTACTGTCCGACATCCAGTGGCTGCTTGTACATCATGTGTACATAGCTGTAGATTCATGCCCTCATGTTCTAATAAAGTCCAGTGCTGATTTTGCACCAGTCTTCGAAAGATCAATCAGTGCAAATTACAGAATATCACAAAGTTGTATACCTTTGATCTCAAACAATTTACAATGTTTACCTTTGAATACAGCCAAACCTTTATTTTGGAAATCCACTCTTATGAGTCTAAGTGAGTTCGGGAGTTCGGTTTTACACCGCTTCTAGCAATATTCCAGCAATATCATGGCGGGAGACACCAGAAATGGGCTTCACACATTGTACCCATGTCGGGAATTGAACCCGGGTCTTCGGCGTGACTTATTAGTCTAAGAGCCTGAAGGGTGTGAGTTGACAAGCAGTGTTATGTTTTTTAGACAAAGACTAAGCCTGGTATGATATCAGTGTCCTGCTTGATACTAGTACCTTACACCCGTGAAGATCCGGGGTAGAATTGATCTTCAGCAACCCATGCTTGCCATAAAAGGTGACTATGCTTGTCATAAGAGGTGACGAATTGGATCCGGTGGTCAGGCTCGCTTACTTGAATGATGCATGTCATCGTATCCCAATTGTGTAGATCGATGCTCATGACATCAATCACTGGATTGTTTTGTGCAGACTCAATTATTTACAGACCACTGTCATATAGCTGGAATATTGCTGAGTGCGGCATTAAACAACAAACAAACAAACGAACAAACTAGCACCAATATGAAAATGTTGCATTGACAGAATGAAGTTAAAATCCACAATAGTAAACTTTGCCATTGCTCTTGTCAATCCAGGTCCAGGGTATGTACAGGCGACTCTTATGTGTTAGACATCAAACATGACAAGTAAACAAAGTTTTATGTGTTCAACCTTATCCATTTTCAGTTTTATGAGAGTGTACTGTGTAATGAATTGTTTTACTTTTCAGTTTCGAAACCAATATGATAATGATGTCACAGTTTGGAGTCCACAGGTAACTATGATATGTAATTTGTAATGTAAAACAACTGTAAAAAAAGCTATGGGGGGCAATTGTCATTCCAATATTTTAAAGTTAATTGTTAAATTAAATTTGACTTTTCCAGGGCAAAGGTATTCTCATCTTTCGCATTGTAATTGCGGCAATCATTTGTACTAGTTATGCAATGCTGGATTATCTATTGTTCACAGGGAAATAGGGGTGGGGTAGAGTTTTTAAAGTGTTTGCATCTATTCCAAAGTTTAGATATACATTCATCAATGAGCACAATGTTTGAAACTTAGTGTTGGAATTGGTTGTAAAATCTTTATTGATGATGGACCATTCCAATTGATCGATAACCAAAATATCAATTTTGTTTCCTTTTGCTGTTTTTGAATGTTAAGTTCTGTAAAACTAAAACACTGTAAGAATTTCAGTAACTTGGGTCACAGTGCAACCAACAAGACCTTATGTATATTTCTTCTCTTGTGACAGGGTCGTATTCACCAGATTGAGTATGCCATGGAAGCGGTGAAGCAGGGGTCAGCCACAGTGGGTCTCAAGTCCCGGACACATGCTGTTCTTGTTGCCCTCAAGGTAGTGTCCAGTCCAATGATCAAATCTACCTCTATAACACATGTACAGTCAAGTCCCGTTAATCCGACATTGTTGGTTGCATATGATAATGTCGGATTAACGAGTATGCAGATAAATGAAATTAGGTAGTATGAACGTTCATGATCGAAAATTGGACAACTACACGATAGATAACGATACAAACACGTAGGAAAATGAAAAATGAAATATTCATATTGTTGTGTTACATTGTCAGCGGAATATGTTTTCTAATCGGTAGCGAGAACTTGAACCGGATTTTAATGAAATTGAGGCATGTGATTAATCCTGTTTTTTTTATTTAAAGCAGTAATTGTATATTGTTAAGCAAGTTTATTCTCTGCAGCCATTGAAATATGCAGCTACTCGCCGACTCGTCTCGCATCAAAACACGGGGCTGTGTACTCGCGGGCAGATGACCACAGAGTACGCTGATCACTGTGTTGGATAACGAGACTGAATTATAAGTGATTTCAGCAATTCGTTGCAAATTAGGTGTGTCGGAGTTGGAGTGCGAGTCTGTCAGATTAACGGGGATAAATAGCACTGATTAAATCAGTTCCCATTATTTGTGTCAAATAAAGCCAAATGTCGGATTAACGAGTGTTGGATTAACGAGACTTGACTGTATAACTAATGCCATCAAACTGAATGTGGTTTATACTTGTTATGATCTTTCTCGTGGGGATTCTTGGTAAGAATATAAGTCCCAATCAAATTATCTTTTTAGCAAGAGGTAACTTACCAAATGGAGTGGTCAGGATCAGTGCTCATGGTCTCAATCACTGGATTGTCTGGTCCAGACTGGAGTATTTTCAGTCACCATCATATGGCTGGAATTTTGTTAAACCATAAACAAATGATACTGACCTATCATTACCATGACAATATCCTTTCGGGTTTTTTCTTATATATGTATAAAACAAACTGGGGGTATTCTGTGTTAGAGCATGGGTCCCCAGCAGCCAATGCTAGTCATCTGAGGGGACAAGATGGATCAGGTTGTCAGACTCGATGTTATTGTACCCTGATGGTGGTTGGCATTCTCATAATCATTATGTTATCAATCTTTGTTTTGCCTGGTCCAGACCAGAACAGGCTACAGTAGGGCTGGCTAAAAACATTGATAATTGGAATTATTGTCGATGGGAAGAAATATTAACGATTATCAATATGAAAATTGTCATTGATAATATCTTACATTAACTAATGTGATGAAATAAAGTTTAAATTTATTAAAATAGACGTGTTATCACAATTACTGAAGACAGAAAGCAATTATTTTTGGTATATCTTACATGTCCACAAAGTAATCCATGCATTAGTGTGTCCCCATTCAGAAGTCCAATTTCTTTTGGACTTTTTGGCATATTGCTCAGTGTTACTTCTCCGATATTTATCGATAATTGATCAATATTTTGTTAACGATAATTGATCTCTATGATATATATTGATAGCTAGCCCTAGGCTACAGTGAAATAGCTGGAATATCGCCAATACTGCATTACACAAGCCAGTTACAATATGGAAGGGAGGTAATTCTGTAATTTATGTGCCAGTTCAGGAAGCGCATTAATAGAAGTTTGGTTCTGAATCTATCATCTTGTTCACAATGTTGATAAACTTGACTGTTCTATTTCAGCGAGCCCCTTCTGAGTTGTCAGCTCACCAGAAGAAAATAATTCCCGTTGATGACCATGTTGGTGTGTCTATAGCAGGTCTTACAGCTGATGCTCGACTCTTATGGTCAGGTTACCTTTCAACTTGCCGTATTGTATATGTTTTGTTCAGAAAATGATATTTCAGTTGCTTGTCCGTCGAAATATACATCTTTAACGTGTCTTCACTGGCTTAAAAAATTCTTGATGGTCAAATTTCATTTTACTGAAATGGAAAACAAATCACTCTTGATGTTTTTCTTACCATTAGATATTATATTCCTTTTTGATACAGCAAATATTTAGTGTATTTTGTTTTGGTGTAAATTAGTCACTTCCCTTTTGTCATTTGTTGAATTTACTGTAATATGTTCATTCCAATTTTCCAGCAACTTCATGCGATCTGAGTGTTTGAATTCCCGGTATGCCTATGAAACTCCTCTACCGGTGTCCCGACTCGTCAGCATGATCGGAGATAGTATCCTTGTGTGGAAAAAATGACAGTAAAAAATGGATTTCCATATGGTGTGTTACGTGACAAAAATTGCTGACACGACATCACCATTAAATCTTGTTTACATATTAGCTATACATTCACTGTTTTGAATTTGGTCAGTGCATAGGTAGCCCACTTATCTGAGGGGGTAGGGCTGAGTGGAGTTATCTCCCTTTAACTGTTCTAGGATCTGCTGATCGGTGATAAAAATCCATAGTTCATCCTGATTAGGATTCTTGCTCTGTGAGCACAATTCCTATTTGTGTACTAAATTTGCCTGAATTTCTGGAAATAATAATCCGGTTAATTTCTTCAATTATTCTGAGAATTGACATGGCTGGGACTTATGAAAAACCATACACAATAAGTTCAATTTGTTTTCAGAGGTATGCCTTAGTGAACAACAAACGTACTATAGTTCAAATGTCGATGAAACAAACACTTTTTCGATATAGTTAACTGGCAATTAAATACCCTTTCTGGGCTGCTGAATTTTTTTGTAAAATAATCTGTATCATACACAAGAAAATGTGCATTGCCTGGTAAATGTTTGGCCTCAGTTTGGGTGCTTATAAAGATTGGTCTAGAATTTGGTCTGGTGCGTAATTGGAACAGGACACTTAATACAGTGAATTCAGTACTTGTCACAAGATAAGAATACACTTTTACTACTTCCAGTAGACAGAATATAATATACCGGTAGGTAAAGTCTAGTTCATGTTCAGGGCTAGTAGATGTGACTTCTAGCCCCCTTTGGCAAGGAACCTTCTGTGTATAAGTTCAATGCTTTGTACATATTATTTTGTATTCAGTGAGAGATAATTTGTATTGAGTGAGAGATCCTTTGGCCTTAACTTTGCTAAGAATCACAGGTACCAACTCAGCGTTACGGGAGGCGACCTTTTGGAGTTGGCCTCTTAGTGGCAGGATATGATGTAAGTATGTGTGTAGCAGCGTACCATACATTAAACATGGTATGCATGAAAAATGCCCCCTAAGGTATTAAACTTGAATTTGTTTACATTTGTTTTTATTTATTCAGATAGATCATGATGGAAACATGGTTAAAATATAACTTTGTATTACATAGTGTGCAGTCAAAGGTTGCATCTTATCGCTGCAGCTGTTCAGGTGAACAAACAGGAGATGACACACTTGGGCAATATAATGTGAATTTTGGCATGAAAAAATGATACAGTGAAAGGAAGAGGGACGTGCCAAAATTTATCATAACTATGGGGTTAAGGGAAGGGGGCTTATCGCAAGTTCTTAACTATAATGGAATCGGGTGGTCAGACTCACTGACTTTGTTGAAGTATGTCATCGATCCCAATTGCTTGGATATCAATGATATCAATCCCCAGATTGGCTGGTCCAGACTCGCTTATTTACAGACCACCGTCATATAGCTGGAATATTGCTGACTGCGGCGTAAAACAAACCCATCCACCAAACGACACTCACTCACTCACTCACTCACACTCACTCACTCACTCACTCACTCACTCACTCACTCACTGTGATTCATGAATGTTTTGATGATGTAGACATATGTTTCCAGGCACAAGGTCCACACATCTACCAGACCTGTCCATCGGCCAACTACTTCGACTGCAAGGCCATGGCCATCGGAGCCAGGTCCCAGTCCGCCAGAACATACCTGGAGAGAAAGCTTGACACCTTCCTTGACTGTGAGTGCTGCTGCAGTAAAACTTCTCAAATTGTAATTATGGACTTTCCAGTTCATATTTATGTTCATGTTCATATGTTCCTATAATGTTAATGGTTTTAGGATGTTAGTAGTCACTGATAACAGGACCGATGAAGAGGGAGAGGTTTTTATGTACAGTTTAGCCTTACTGCATTGAATGCAATTTGAAATACTATGTTGAAATACCTTTGAATTTAAGAAAATATACCTTTCAATAGAGTCCCAATTTTAAACAAATTATGTAATGTTTTTGCATTTTACCTGACATTGGCACTTAGTTTGGAATCCTTGAGGTTACACAAAACCAAACGTTTTTCCATAGATTTCTATAGTAATGTTATATAAAAAATATATTTTTTAAATAAATAGGCATTCGAAGCCTTTACATATACATGTAAGGCATAGTCTGGCCTTAAAGCTGCCATGAAAACACAAATTTTGGCTAGCTGAGCTCTTCCAAATACATGAAGCTAACACATCAACCCCAGTTACGCACCAAAAGTCACCTACTTGAAAATATCTATGGTGACAGTCACTTTCAGCTGAAGTCATCATGCTTCAAAAGTCAGCACTAAATATTGGAAAACATTGTCAGTTAAATTACCGGATGAATGTACATGAAAAAAATAAATCTTACACAAAATCATCCAATCACAGCTGCCAGATTTCTCAATCAACATTCAACCTTCTTTATGAAAACTGCTGCCCAAACAACTGATTCTGATTTGGTGTAGTAGAGACTTAGATGCATCCCAGCAATTAGCATAGAGGTCAAGGTAATTTTGCAATCAACTTGTACAGAATTTCTGCTACGGATGCAGGGATGAATCAAGTGAATTAGAAACTGGTGCAAATTTTCTACCTTGTCACCCACAGGTACTCTTGAGGAGCTGATCCTGCACGGGATGAGATCTCTGAGGGACACCCTGCCCCAGGACTTGGAGCTCACAACCAAGGTGAACATAGTGTTAAATTATTTTTTATAATTTCCAGAGGTCTTCACATTCTACGATCACAGAGTTATGTCCCTTTGCATTCCACATGGTATTGCTTTTAGTTTCTTTTGACGTGCGAGATTGTTAGTATCCCTGGATAACATACATTTTGTGTTGTGTTTGTAATCTATGAGATTGTGATTTAATTGAGTGACTTAGTGGGGGAGTTAATTTTGGGGTCACAGGTGCGAGAGGGATGGTGTGTTCTCGAGGGCTGAACCCATTGTATCTCTGCCTGTATCGTTTTGTCTGTTGATTGTTGAATTGGAATTAGTGTACCGACTATGGTATCCCTATGTCCCCAGGATAAGCTTGAATACTGGAGGGGAACTGATTTCCAGATTCAAGCCGTTATAGATGCTGCAATGCCTTCATCACAATCCACTTTGTGTTAATGACTCTATGTCAGCTAATCAAAGCAAGGTTTTCCAAAAATATGTTTGTCTGACACAGCACCAGGATGTGCAGTTATAGGATGCTGACTTGTTACTTCAGTAAACCTGTGAAGATCCGGGGTAGAATAGGTCTTCAGCAACCCATGCTCGTTGTAAGAGGCGACTTTGCTTGTCATAAGCGTTGACTTATGAGAATTGGTGATCAGGCTCACTGACTTGGTTGATGCATGTCATCGAATCCCAGTTGTGTAGATTGATGCTCATGATGACAATTACCAGACTGTCTTGTCAAGACTCAATTATTTACAGACCGCCGTCATGTAGCTGGAATATTGCTGAGTGCGGCGTAATACAAACAACAAACAAACAGAACAAATCTTGTATCGTTCAGCAACACATTCAGCATGTTCAGACTTTCATCATTCTGTGTGTGTGTTCTATGTGAGTACCTAGTATATGGAATGTTTGTTCAGAAAGCTTTGATGCTTAAGGTGTGGTAATGACTCAATTATTATTCAAGCTGATATTTTATCTTACAGAACTGCTCCATTGGGATTGTCGGCAGAGAACAGGACTTTACAATCTACGATGATGACGATGTTACTCCATATGTATCCTTTAGTTCATTTTAGGGAAATACTTACAGACTTGCAGAGTACCTGTTAACTAATGATTCTCTTTGCAGATCAATATCTTGTCAACACTGACATGTTATACTTACTACTGGTAAACAAACACAAATGTGTTGATGCTGCTGAGACACGCATCTGTTAAAAGGGCGTGCACTGATGTATGCGGATGTCATCCCAATATTGTTGCCAGATTGTTTGCCTTTTAACAGTGTTCAAAATACCTGCCTGCCCGACCGTCCGAGACGGGTTGATTTCAACTCGGGCTGCCAGATTTTCAAATCCCCCTGTCTGACGATCGGGTTATGTTTCATATGTGAAAATATTCAAAATATTTCCCGATGATAAGCATTAATTCACATGTAAAGATGAATGATAAAATGTAACCAAAAAGAAACCCCGTTAGCTTATCCTGAGAAACATATGATTATAGTGGGCAGGCAGGTTTTGGTCAGGGCTGACAAGTATTTCAGCTAGCCAGTCCTGTGGTCTGGCTGAAATTTTTGGGAGTTTCATACCCTGCTTTTAAGGCAACCCGTGAAGATCCCGGTTAGAATTAGCCTTCTGCAACCCATGCTTGTTGTATGAAGTGACTTAACAGGTCCGGTTGGTCAGACTCACTGACTTGGTTGATGCATGTCAATGTATCCCAGTTGGGTAGATCGATGCTCATGATGTCAGTCACTGGATTGTCTGGTCCAGACTCGATTATTTACAGACTGAAGTCATATAGCTGGAATAGTGCTGAGTGTGGCGTTAAACAACAAACCAACAACAGAAAGCCTGGTTTCTTTATCTGTTCTGTGTTTACTTGTAGTGTGAACACGTGTGACAAACACCAAGACCTTGATCAATTCTTCAAAAGTTCATTTGAACACGGTCGATCGTACTGGCCATTTCCATCTTTATCACATGCTATGTAATGCAGGGACAAATGGAGATCAGCATGCCCTGTTGGCTATAATTAATTTTTTTTCGAATAAAAAAGTAATTGTTAGTTGACGATTCAACACTGTCCATGCAAATTATCCTTGTGATAAGGCTAAAAAAAAGATAAGTCTTGGTTCGCAGGCACTGCCAGCATTTTCATAAAGTCCGTAGCACGTTTTGTTTTTATTTTCATCCCCCCGCCCACAATGAAATCCTGATACTTAAAAACAATCCAATCCAATTTAGCACACAGTTACTTCCCTTAACATGCGCACTGCTTTACTGCGCATCTCGTGGCGGCAATAAGAGTTTGTATTTTGTATGCTTGTTTATGTAGGGAGGCCCTGTCTCAGGTTGATGGCACACAACTGTTTATTTAGTTACATACTCGTTTGAACAAGCACAAAAAACAAAAAAACATCGCCCACCTGCACTATATTTTCGTTGCCTGAGAACCAATTCTTTTGTTTTTTTAAGCCTAAAGTAGAATTTTTCCACTAAATTTAGAGTATGTTGAAGAACATGTTTTGTTGTAATGACCTTGACATTGACCAGCTGACAAAGATTGAAGGCGAGGAGAGAAGTGCACCGCCACCAGCTGAGGAAGGGGAGGTAAGTCTGTCAGCACACTCTTGGAAGTATAGATGATTGAAATTAAAACGCAAATTTTCTTGGCTATTTCTTCTTGTCAGTGTAGGGGCGGTCGGGTAGCCTCGTGGTTAAAGCGTTCGCTCGTCACGCCGAAAACCTGGGTTATATTCCCGACATGGGTACAATGTGTGAAGCCCATTTCTGGTGTCCCCCGCCATGAAATTGCTGGAATATTGCTAAAAGCGGCGTAAAACAATACTCAATCACTCTCTTGTCAGTGTAACATGATATGAGCTGAACTGTGATGCCTAAGTTTGCTGTACTATAGAAATGGGAGAAATTCTTTTGATGAATGATGATGGAATATTAGTCGTGTCACTATGTGATTTGTGACAAAGTTAATGAGAAACATCTGTATATGCTTGGTAGACATTATTTGAAATGTTGCATAAGGATGCTCTTCCACAGGACTATCCGATTAATTACTGGAACATTTTACTTGATATTTTAACATTTTTTAAATATTTTCCAACCACAATCATATAACTGAGCATAGGTCAGGTTTCATCTGGATAAACTTTAGTGAGTGAGTGCATGTTTATACACCACATTCCACAAGCCTATCAATCAGTGGGGGGTGGTCGGGTAGCCTAGTGCTTAAAGCGTTCGCTCGACACGCCGAAGATCCGGGTTCGAATCCCGAAATGGGTACAATGTGTGAAGCCCATTTCTGGTGTCCCCCACCGTGATATTGCTGGAATATTGCTAAAAGCGGCGTAAAACCAAACTCACTCACTCACTCAACCAGTGGATTGCCTGACTTCGACTCAATTACAGATGATATAACTTGAATATTGCTGACGCATCATAAAACAACAGGTCCTGATGCCCTTTCAGGAATGTTCCTTCCCTGTGCCTGTATTTCTCAAATGTAAGCATCCTTTTTGTCAGGCTGCTATGGAGGCCCAGGATGATGCCGCAGCACCTTCAGAACCCAGCGTAGCTGCCCCAGAGACTGAGGGTATGGACCACTAGACAGGCAGTCATCATCATCGCCCAGTTGACACGATGCTCTCATTGCCAATACAAGTCATCTATCATCAACACAAACAAATACTGGTGTTCAGACATCAGTCTGAGGAGTAATACTGTTAGGTGTCTATCATGACTCGTTCTGAGTATAAAACCTTGCTTTTGAGAATGTCATCAGTTGTTGATGTTACTGACAAATTGTTATGTATTTTCAAAAGATGCTTAAATACTGATGTATGAAGAGAGGTCAAGTTGATTTTCTGGGGTTAGATTTCAAATGTTCATGGACATTTTGAATCCTAAACCTGTTTATGAACTATAGTGCTGGTGGCTTAAAGAGCATTGAACATTGAAACATATTTATGTCATCCACTGTACATTTCCTTTCTGTTGCTGAACATGTGTATTACAATAAATACAAATTTGAAATGGTAGCTTAGTGTTTGTAGTTTATGAACCTACCCGTGAAGATTCCTGGGTAGAATAGGTCTTCAGCAACCCATGCTTGCCGTAAAAGGTGACTATGCTTTTCGTTAAAGGCGACTAACGGGATCGGGTGGTCAGGCTCGCTGACTTGGTTGATGCATGTCATCGATCCCAATTGTGTGGATCGATGCTCATGATATCAATCACTGGATTGTCTGTTCCATACTCGATTATTTACAGACCTCTGTCATATAGCTGGAATATTGCTGAGTGCGGAGTTAAACAACAAACCAAACCAAAAGAATATGAAGCATGTATCTGTTCACTAGATTGGTCAACACTTTAAATATTGTTCATCGCAAACAGGAGCCCCAGTGCCTATGAGCAAATCCCGAGGGGGAGGCACGCTTAGCATGACATTATGAAGGGGCATGCAGTAGCCCTGAAGCATTGTAATAAACAATTAACAAGTTGTTTATCCATGATGACATATGGACAAACATATAACTAAATCATTTGGTGCCATGTATTCAACAAAATCCTGTATCCACACTTGCTGTCAACTTGTATTTGTAACTTCAGGCCCATAGGAACAGGGGTCCTTCCGAATCTATTTTTTTATCAACAGATTTTCACAAGGAGAATTTTGCTCACCCCCTACCACCCATTGGCCAACATCTACATATATACAGCGTATTTGCTGAGCTACAAGGATGTAATGTTTGCAGCTACACCCCCACTATGATTTGGTGATATGTTATCAACAAAAATAACAATTGACTAATTTTGGCAAACACACGCAAATTGTTTCCACAAAGTTATCTTAGAGCTACGATCTGGTAGCATAGTGTTAAGCGCTAAGATGGCTTTCTGGAAAGGGCCAAGGCATGAATCTGGTCAAGATTCTATAACTGATTCTATCACCAGGACTGCATGCACCTTGTGGTCCAAGCCAAGATGACAAGGTCTTACATCTGCTGAAATGAGATTGGTTAACACATGAGGCGAGTTACTTTGCTCCAATCTTATTCATCAATCTAACGGGACGTGTTAACACACCAGCATGGTGGACATTCGGTCTGTAGGTGTATAGCCCTTGGATATGTGTTCCCTGCCACAGATAGGTTTCAGTCAAGTTGAATGCAAACGTTTAGTGCCAGGCATATAAACCTTCTTGCCTTTCATTCATACCTGAAACAAGTTCTGCTTTTCTCTAAAAAATTGTTTCTTTGGCTTTTTTTTGTTTAACACCGCACTCAGCAATATAACATCTCTATGACGGTGGTCTGTAAATAATCGAGTCTGGACCAGACCACCCAGTGATTGTTATCATGAACGCTGACGCAACTGGGATACGATGACATGCATGAACAAAGTCAGCGAGCTTGACTACCCAGGGCGGTATTCTTAAATAAACTTAAATCTTGAAAAAAACTAACTTCTTAGTTTTTCTATGAATACCACCCCCGATCTCGAACACGTTAGTCGCTTCTTACAAGTATGGGTTGCTGAAGACCAATTCTAACCCGGAACTTCACGGGTCTTTTATCAAACAAACAGAAGATGTGTCATTATCTTTTTGACACGCCTCATTCCTTGCCATGATCGAGTCAGGACCAGATGATGATGACCAGGGTCCGGTGATTCATTTATGAACAACGATCCACAGCATCTGGGTAAGATGACACTAAGCCTCACCACCCGATCCATTAGGTCGTCTCCTACGACCAGCACAGGTTGGACCCCGTCCCAGAAAGTGGTCACAGCTATAGGATTGTTATTAGTCAATTAGTTACGATCGCCATAGCGCTAAGATCGGTGTGTGGAGCGGGGCCGGGGGCCTATGTGAGTGAGTTGGGTTTAACGCCGCTTTTAACAATATTCCGCGTGTCAGCTTAATATGGGAGGAAAGCCCGAAGTGATGCAGGTCTCAGACGTTTACCAGTTCGGTGAAACCCACGAGAAACATAATCGGGGCGAACCGGGATTCGAACCCACAATCATGGGTTTCTGGCGTGCCCAAGGGACGCAACTCTGCACATCGAATCGCGGCGCCTTATACGACTGGGCCACCCGTGCCGCCCGGGGGTAAATATATACGACAAACCTACTTATGACCCAGGGCCTAGATTTTCGAAACGATCTTAGCTAAGATAAATCTTAACAACTTACGTTCAAAGATAAGATATCTTAAGGCTAAGATAAGATAGATTTTCGAAACTATCGTAAACCTGTCGCAGATCGTTCAGAGTTACGATACCTATCGTAACTCTGACAAGGAACTCATTTGTGTTAGAGATTGAAAAAGCGAGGTGTTTCCCAATGACGTCACGGGGATTTCCCAGCTGCTGACAATAACAACAACATAGATAAGTGACACGGAATTCATGATCACATTGTCAGGTCACATTGTTTAACATGCACATATTTGAGTGAAATTCTGTACAATCCTACATATGTCCTACATGTAGACGTGTTGTTCTTATGATAAAAGATGCCATGACTAACCGAACACAAAAAGCATTCGTGTGCCATGCAATAGCATTTTTTAAAGCCAAAAAATGTTATAATCAATAAGTATAGCGTTACCACACTTTAGCTATTAGAATGGAAATACTGTGCCAAATGATACTTCACAATTTTCCCTTCAAATGGTCCTCTCGTGACCGCGCAGAACTTTATGATACAAACACATCGCGTACAAAGTCAAGGACGAAAGTAAGGGACGTTATTCTAAATGACAATGACGAGACCTTTGATCGAACAGCATATGCGTTCAGCATTTAACATGCGTGTTCAAGTCTGATGTTAAGTGATGTATACTGTATATGTTTGTGTTTATGTCAAAAGTCAAGTTTATATTAGTGTAAACACCAACATTATACGTGGAAACACTCAAAACAAAAATTGTTCAGGAAGCTGCGCACCCACAAGCAAGATTTTATGACAATCTAAGCTTGTTAAGTTTGTTTTGTTATTTATGTATCCAATATATTTCACGAATTAACCAAGGACTTAAATACAATATCAAGCTATAAGTATTTAGATGATGAAATTATTTTTTATCTATATAGATCCATAATTCTTTTCAAAATTTATAAGTGACACTAATTTTCGTTCGCAAAGAGAGATAATTTCGGAATTGTCAAGTTATGTTGTCTCATGGAACAAGCCACAAGTTAACGTAAACATACATATAATGTAGTCATTTTCTATCCTTTTAAATTAAGTAGAGCTAATAAACTGATTTGTCTGATTTCATTTAAATCTGACTAAGGAGCGAAATACTTTGTAATGTGTCAAATCTATTCCAGAACGTAGTTCAATGATGTTTGGCTTGTCTGACAGCATTGCTGAGGATCATTTACTAGTATTTGTCCGTTGACCCTAAACGTGACAACGATTTTATTGTTTGAATGGTCTCAAGTATATCTATATATTTTTTAAACATAAAACGGGAAGATGTAGACTTAAATATTAAAAACACCAAAATATTTTAAAACCGGTTTATTGAATGCAAAGATTATTGTGTTGAAAATGTGTATTTTATATTGATCAGTATATTTCATTCAATAAACTTTTTTTTCTGCGAACATATATTGGAATTTGCAAACTATGCTACATTTTGACGAGAACCAGAACGAGCATGGGAACCCATTTTTTATTTGATTTGTCGATACGAAAATCTGTGCTTAACTTTTACTGTCAAAATTTCAGTAAATTGTTATATTTACTTGAATACATCTATATGCCGTTAATCAATGTTTTTAAAGAATGCAATTGTTCAACAAACAGTTTTTAATCATTTTTTTTTTCAAATATTTGTCTTTCAAGATGATATAGATAACATAGGTATTAAATTTAAAACGAAACAAATTACAATTACTTTTGAAAGAAAAATATTAGATATTGAAAACAAATATTTGATCACATGTATTTCCTTGTTAAGTCAATAATCACTACACTGTATAGTTAAAATTCAATTATTAAAACCACCCGTCCCACACGATTTTAGATGTAAAAACTTATGCGAAACCTTTATGGTTATTTTTACATATGTAGATTGATATAATTTTATCAAATGCGAAAATAAAGACTAAAGCATTGACACAAATGCGATCCAGAAAATATAACAGCGGAACTCTGCGCTTTATGAAAACTGTACCATTGAGCAAGGTGTCCCGGGCGAGTACAAAGGGAAACCACTCTCAACTAGAGTTTGAACTAAGATTAGCTCCCCCTGAGTTATCAATGAGGTCACGGTCATTACTGTAGCCTGCCGACACCTTCCCTTTTTATCCCTCCCAAATTATCGAAAAGGTATGTTGTTTCACACTTCTTCTGCATGGACTCGGATAGAAATATATTGTAAGCTATCGACTCCACAGTTATGTGGATCGCTGTCGCGATTGAGAATTTTTTTGACGCGAAATCCATGATGCGTTCTTTTTGTTTTCGAAGTGTCAATTTGAATCACTCAGTTTTACCAAATGAAATGTCAATGTTTGAACGTAAAGCAGACTTATTGTTTGGCAAAATATCTATGGAAAAGTATGCCGCCATCTTGGATGAAGATAAAATAAACTTACGACAGGTATAGGGCTATCTTAGATTTACGACAAACTTAAGATATCTTAGGGCTACGATAGTTTCGAAAATAGGCTACGATAGCCTACGATTTCCTTACGATAACTTTACGATAATCTTAGGGCTAAGATCGTTTCAAAATCTAGGCCCAGACCTCCATGTCACAGCAATAAAAAGCGGCGTTAAACCATACTCACTCACTCACAGCAATATATATTTTACCAAATATACGTTAAAGAACACTCGGTCTTTTTCATCTGACTATCATGACCATAGTCCTATATAAAAAATCGGGCGATCTCCTGAGTAGTATATTATGTCGGTTGTTTCACCTGAACACCGCAATATTCCGGCTAAATCACCGCGGCCTGTAAATGATCTTGTCTGGACCAGATAATTCAGCGATTGATGTGAGCAGTGA